GACTGTGTGGAATGCGCTTGTTGCAGGATCACCTGAAAGCCTTGCAGAGTGTTGGGCAGATCATCGGCGAGGTTGCAGACTCGGTGCTTTGTCGGTGCTCAGTCCTTCCTTGGGAAGGTGTTACGACAGCTGGACGCCGAGCGCTTCATCGTGAAAGCCTCGAGTGGCCCGCGCTACGTTGTCACGTGCAAGGCCGGGCTCCACTGGTCTAAAGAGTCTAAAGTTCACACCAAGTTCACACTTACACCACTCTTCTCGGCTCTCGCCGCTCTCGTCTTGAAACTGTGGCCCCGGATTTCTCAGGTAAAGCTGGACAAGGCCAAGCTGGTGTCAGGCCCAACTTGAGACACTTCACGTCTCCATCTGAAAGGATTCGTGATGTGAGGCAGCCGCGTCTCCTTGGACATGACCACTCTGACAATCATGCGCTTACTTCCGAGAGAAGTCGACCCGATGGTCTTCAGCATGCTGCACGAGGCGAGCTTTTTGGCGCGCTCTTGCAAGAAGTGCACTTTTTGTACAGAGGATCCTGGGAAGATCTCCTACAGCGATGTTGGTGGCCTCACAGAGCAGATCAGGCAAGTTCGAAGTCTGCACGACATGGAAGGCGCGTCTTGTGCCTCTCTGGCTTCGCAGGCAGATGCGAGAGGCCACCCAGCTGCATCTTCAAGCCTCGAAGCAGACAGACTATCGGACTATCGTGCTGAGTTTGCGATCTTGCGATCGGGCGAGAGAGGCTTGCCGTCGATAATACTCAGCTGAGCTGCTGGTGGCCTTGTTGGCACGCTCACAGTCTCCACGTCCGGATAGAGCACATTGGCAGTGACGATGCTGGTTCAGTCTTGATGAGGACGCTGATTTTGATGATGGTGAGGATGTTTATGGCAAAGCTTATGGCGCTGACGACGATCCCGGTGGATTTGGTGATGGTGCTGCGGGGGGGGGTGATAGTAATGCCAGGATGATAGCAGTGGCCTCGAGAAACAAGGAGCAACAGTATCGCTGTCATGGCAACAGACACGCATGCAAACATGCACATACTGTAGGCCAGAGAGCCAGCCAGCCAGCCATCCATCCGGGTATCCGTCCATACATCTTTGCACGCATGGGCGGCAGTATGTACAAGTATACGTGCTTACATAAACTCTTACATAGCGTACATTGGCATACATATGCACAGAGCGGTCGTCTGTCCATGCATGCGTACATGCGCACTTTGACAGCATATTGTAAACTGAGGCCGGTGTGAGAGTCATGTGGAGCCCAGGTCATCGAGCTGCCGTTGACAAACCCGGAGCTCTTCAAGCGTGTGTCCAGCCTGCGCTTTTCCCCACCATAGCCTGGTGCAAGGAGCTTGTCGCATTCCGCTCTGAGGTGGGCATCAAGTCTCCGAAGGGTGTGCTGCTCTACGGCCCGCCGGGAACCGGGAAGACGCTGTTGGCACGGGCCATGGCGCACAACATGACGGCCAGTTTCATCAAGGCCAGCAAGTTGTCAGTGGTTCCCATCCTTCCCTTCTTGGTCAAAAATACTCTGCATCAGGTCGTAGCATCTGCCATCGTGGACAAGTACATTGGAGAGTCTGCCCGAATCATCCGCGAGATGTTTGGCTATGCGAAAGAGCATCAGCCCTGCATCATTTTCATGGATGAGCCACTTGGCAGCATGAATACGCAGTGAAGTCCGCCTTCTCGAATCCACTCCGCGGCTTTTTGAGGATTGATGCCATCGGCGGGAAGCGTTTCTCTCAAGGCACATCGGCTGACAGAGAGATCCAGCGGACTTTGATGGTGCCGGCCCCAGCTGGACAAGGTTCAACTTCGGCTTATTGGGCTTCGTGCTGAGGAACTGTTGAATCAGCTGGATGGCTTCGACGATTTGGGCCGCGTGAAGATCATCATGGTCTGAGCCTTTGAAGGATGGAGATCTTCGGATGCGGAAGGAGCTCCGAAATAGAACACTTACGATACCTATGTAGGCCCTGTTAAAGGCTTTGCAGCTCTCGGCTCCTGGCGGCTCTTGCCCGAAGTTGCGCCTTAGGCTACAAATCGGCCCGATACCCTGGACCCTGCGCTGCTTCGGCCGGGGCGCTTGGACCGGAAGGTGCCACCCTGAGGAGCCATGGATCCACTTTCCTGAAGCAGCCGCCCCTTTAAGCGCTTGTGCCAGATCGAGATTCCCTTGCCGAACGAGCAAGCCAGGATCGAGGCGCGAGGTCCAGGATCTGGGTCTCTTGGGTTCTGGGCTCCGCACAGCTCGGGTTCCGGGATCACCAGGTGCTCAAGATCCATGCCAACCCCATCACAAAGCACGGGGATATCGACTACGAAGCCATTTGCAAGCTGACGGACAACTTCAACAATGCTGACATGCGCAACATTTGCACTGAGGCCGCAAGCTTTGCAGGCGTGAGCACGGGGGCTTTGGGTCTTGCGAGCGCGCAGTTCAGGCCGGAATGTTTGCCATCCGCGCCGAGCGTGACTATGTCGTTGAGGAGGATTTCATGAAGGCACACGAGCACTCGATTGGAGCCCTTTGGAGTCGTTTAAACACCTTTGCAGCTCCGGGTCAGGCCGCAAGAAAAATTGACCGGCCCTCAGAAAGCCAAGCTGTGGGGAGTTCTGTACAAGCGTGTCACCCGCATGAGGCAGACAACAAGAAGCTTGAAGGCAAGCTCGACTACGAGAAGGTGTAGATGCGCCACTAGACTAGACTCTGAACAGGCAGTCGGTGCCGGTATCGCCAAAAAGTGGCATCTAAGCAGAGCGCATCGGGCATAGCTTCCTGAAGACGTGCGCGAGTGGACAAAACGCGCCGGCGGTGTGGTGGAATGCAGCCTTTCTGATGAAGTTCAGGTCATGTGCTTAGGGGCCGGTCTACTCCGAGATCGATTGTTTGCCAGCAAGAAGAATTTAGAGCTAGCTGATGTGGAATCCCATGCAAGAAGCATCGTAGATGTGTGCAGAAATGAGAATAGGCTGTGAGACTGTGCAAGTTGACCAAGATGAACACGAAATGACAAGTTGCAGCTTCAGTCATTTCAACTGTGGTTGGGCTTGTTGGGCTTTGCATCGTCGTTACCTTTGGCAATTCGAACGGCGACTCCGAATCCATGACTAATGAGACATTCCAGACGATGTCCGCTTATGTGAGATTGCGAAAGATCCCCGACGACGGATGGCTCACTCGGGCTCTCCCAAGTTGAAGGCTCAGCACCCGTAGGACCGCAGGAGGCCTCAGCCATCCGCTAGCGACCGCAGGAAGCAAACTGTGGCTACGTCCCGCATCCACTTCTCTCATGCTCCAGGACATGGGGCTTCGGGGCATCTCGATTATGCAAGTGATGGCTCCTTTGCGGTCCGAGCTTAGAAGTCGTCTCCGGGCAACAACGAAAGAATGGTTCGGTCCGTTACTCGTTAAACCCAAGCCCCTCAGCGTTCAGGACTCCGCTCTGGAATCAGCTGCGTGCGGAGCTGACAGCGTGCAGAATCCCAGGACCCAAAGGCACGGACCATGGGATGGGGCTGCATGCCACGCTGCCATCGGCCAGCTGTAAAAAGGGATTGCCACGCTGCCATCGGCCAGCTGTAAAAAGGGATGAACCTGAAACCTCCGACCTTGGATGGCCGGTTGTCGCAGTTGTGGTCCTCTTGTTCCAAAGCCAGAAACCTCAGAAGCAACAGCAGCGGTGGTGCCACAGGCCCCTTTTTCGTCTTGTCTTGTCGTCAGCCCCCAGCACCGGATCAGTTCAATTCCACACCTCAGTCGATGATTGTGGTGGCTTAAGCGCTGGTAAACTGGCATCCGAGTACCTTCACGTCTTCCTTCAGAGGTCATGTTGATTTCCACACGGTAAGGCCGCCCCTTATTGGAACCATATGTCTGTCTTTCAGACCCTTGCTCGTAAGTGCGGCCGGGATCTGCAAGATTGACCAGTGCTGCCTAGTGAAACTTCTGGCATGTTGTGGATCTGCGCCTTTCCGGCGTGTGGATGCGAATAAACCTCCGTGGCAGTTGTATGCTCACGTAAGAGACGTAAGAGATGTACGAACGAATTCCTTGCTCAGTCCTTTATGGTAGGCGGAGCGCACCTTGCAAGTGCTGCAGCCTGCCGCCTAGAAGCGTGTTGCAATTCACCGAACAAGTCCAGAGCTTGCTTTCTGCACTGCGTGAGTGTATGTTGGGGTTCAACGATGCGCTTGTGAATTTATGGAGTCCGGACGATATGCGTGGCATGATACAAGCACAGAGTGGGGTGACGTGGCACTACTACACTACTACACTACTTCGCGCCCCTACTGCCCTTGCCAACATGTTCACGGCAGGGATGAAGTCGAAGACTTCTCTGCCTTCTGCCAAGGCCAGGGCCTTTGGCCGCGCCCTCTTCTTCGCAAGGGCCTTCCTTCCGCAAGTGACGCTGCTCTTCCAACAGCAGGCCTCCTTTTGAAGTTGCACGGAGCCAGGGACTGTCCTGCACCGCATCACAGGCTGTCTTCTTCGTGGAAGCCTCAGCACTCCAGGCTCCAGGGCGCTCATTGGCATACCAGTAGCTCGAGTGTGGAGGTACTCTGTGAACGCTTCGAGGAAGTTTTGGCTCAGAAGACTGACTGGGCGCCAGTGGCCCAGACATCTCATGGCTCTCCCGCTGTAAGCACAATCTGCCATGATGTGCGCCTGGGAAATAGAGAGCATCTGACAAGGACCTTGGTGCCAATTCCAAATTTCGAGAATGACGTGCCCACAGATGGACCGAAAGCGCACCGCCTCCCAGCCACTATGCGTGCATACAAACCCTAACCATGTGCTGCGCGTATGAACCGGCGCACCTTGCGCACAGATGAACCCCAAAGCATTACTCGCATATGAACCCTTGCCATACGTATATATGCCATGCTTGAACTGCAGAGATGCGGAGGGGTTTACGCATGCTTCTTGCTGCACGTCGGTTGGACAGCCGTTTTGGTTAGCTCTCGCAAGTCAGGGATTCGGTGCCCCGCGCCATGGAGTTGAAAGGGAAGGCTTTAGTCTTCCTCGTGGTCGCTTGCGTGGGAGTGGCTGCTGTAGCTTCAGCTGCCAAGGAGCCGACCATCAATGGCCCTGTGATTGGCGTGGATCTTGGGACCACTTACTCTTGCGTCGGCATCTACAAGCAGGGCAGAGTGGAGATACTTCCCAACGACCAGGGAAATCGTATCACACCCTCATATGTGGCGTTTACAGATGATGAGCGGCTCATCGGCGAGGCCGGAAAAAACCAGGCCGCGGTAAATCCGACACAAACCTTGTTTGACGTGAAACGCTTGATGGGGAGGCGCTTCAAGGACTCTACCGTGCAGGAGGACATGAAGCTGCTACCCTTCAAGATTGTGGAGAAGGGCGGGAAACCGATGATCAGCGTCAAGGTGAAGGGTGCGGAGAAGATCATGCCTCCGGAGGAGGTGTCCTCCATGGTCCTGGCAAAGATGAAGGAGACAGCTGAGAACTATTTGGGCCAGGAGGTTCAGCATGCGGTAGTGAC